AATTATAATTTAAGTAAGATATATTTTTACATTAAAAACTCATAATTATTTCCCTGTTATTAAAGCATTTAAAAAAACTTTTATATAATTTTATGGCTAGCCCCAAATTTTTTACCTGCACATAAGATAATTAGGCCAGTCACAACAAAAAGTGTAAAAGCATAGTTTATATTCTTATAAATAATTTTTTTTAAATTAAGCCAGGTTTTATAACTTGGTAAAGTAACATAGCCACGCAAGTAGATTAATTTCTCCATAATTTATAAATCTATTTTAAAACTGCTCCAAGTACCAAATCTCCTCCCTACTCATTTTCCCTTATATTATAGTTAATATTATGTAACGAAAGATGATACGCTCTAAATTCGATATAATTCATGATATCACGCCTTACCTTAGTTGACACACATTYCTATTCTTGATATCCACACGGAAGTCACAAAAAGAAGAGTCCCAATCTTCGTTTGGGTAGCTTGGGTTGACAAAATATGATACGGGATCATCGGTGGCGTTGTGGCAACTTTTTTCTGCAGCACAAATAAAAATGTATTAACCTCCCAGTTTAAAAAAAGTTGGTTCAAAATGTATTGCGTTAATATGGAATAAGAACGACATCTACGTTTCGAAATAATTACTGGTGTTCGAATCATTTTTCTGTATGACGTCCATTGTTCAATATACTCAATTTGTCATGTTATGTCACGAGGGCCGCAGGCAATAAATTAAATATTTAATTATTTATTTGATTTTTACTTACTTATGATGGGGTACATTGAAATAATGAAATCAGTATTTATACACTAACGCCAGTGGTGGATTACCCATTAGACTCGTGAGGCTCGAGCCTAGGGCGGCAATTTGTAGGGGGTAGCAAAATTGTTTCATGTTATTTTATTTTTATGAACAAAAAWAAGATAATGGTATTCAAATGGGTTACTCATAATTTTTGGTATCTGAAGAAATTAATGGCTACTTGTTTCTTGTTATAACTTGACTTGCATTATTACCTACACAATACGCATGAGAAATACGCAATTGCTAAATAAATTCATTTTGATTTAATATAAACTGATCGACGTTGGTGATTCCGCGAGTATATAAATAAATAAATAAATATATATATATATAAATACATTTATCGGCGGAAATGTTTGAATGTTCGACGTTTGACGAAATCATCAATTGCAATTTGTAAGATTTATATTATGTAATACAATATTTGAAATAAAGTGTAAATTAATAATTATTCAACCATAGTACCTTTGAACCATTTCTCACTCACGGGACGGCTATATCACTATTCGTGTCAGCATATTCAAATTACGATTTTTGGATAGTATTAAAAAAGGGGGGTGGTAGACACTGAGCGTTTCTATGGGCGCCGAGAAGGTTAATCACCACTGACTAACGCTGTCTTTTCCGACGTTCAAATAAAAGTGAAATGAATCAAAATAACATACACTTGGGTTTTTCGATTGTAACCGATGAAAACGTAATTATTATATTGTGCTCAGTGTTGGGCTTTCATAGAAATCTGTTTATAATAATATTATGGTATAATACAATAATGTCTACATATTATTCCG